CAAGTTGACATACAAACATAACTATCACAGTGTATATTAACTAGCCAAATAATCCCTATTCTCACAGCATGTTTCTGTTAAATAGGTATGACTCCCTAACTGGGGTTCCGGTCAGCCAACAGAACTTGCTCCTGGAGAAGGCCAGCATTCTTTTTAACATTGGAGCCCTCTACACACAAATTGGGACTCGGTGCAATCGGCAGACGCAAGCTGGGCTGGAGAGTACTGTGGATGCCTTTCAGAGAGCTGCAGGTGTGTCTCTGCAGAGGTTACCTGGCAGGGAGCTTTGGCCCTGCCCAAGGAAGGGGGTCTGTGGGTCTTCCTCATGCCTGTGCTTGGATGCAGAAGCCTGCAAGGCCAGATGAGTATCCATCAAGAGAAGTGCGTAATGGTTCAAATCCTGATGTCTTTATCTCAGTCTGGCTTCTGTACACAGTGAATCCTGTGGTTAATGGCTAATCTTTTCCAAATGAGTGGCCCCAATAATGGCAGTGAATAAACACTGTATTGGAAAAAAACAGACTACGTATTCCTGAATAGTGAAAATATAGGCTTTTTTCTCTTTTATTAAGTATTCCTTATCAGCACCTAAGGAGCTTTGGTGGTATAGTGGTTAAGGCATTTGGCTTTTTAACCAAAAGGTCAGTGGTATCCCACCAGCTGCTCTGTAGAAGAAAGATGAGGCAGTCTGCTTCTGTAAAGATTTACAGCCTTGGAAATCTATTGGGGGTTGCTATGACTGATGGCGGTGAGTTTTTTTTTTTTTTTGTATCAGCATCTATTACTTTAGCATGTTTGCCAGCCTGAGGCTGCTTTCTCTGCTCTTGTGTCAAGTGATGCATACAAGTGCTTAATAATCCTGTCATCTTCTCTAGGACTTACAAACCCTTTCCCATTTGAACTTTTTTCTCCCAGGCAGTCACCCCTGAATTCGTCTTAGTATGACCCAGGTGTGGGATAGGAGAGGAATACAGCTTAACATTGGACCTGTAGAGGACAGGGTCAGCAGGGGGTAGAAGGAATAGAGGGTGAGGGTGGGGTAGGGAGTCCAGCAAACCTGATACTGACACCTGGGAAAGCTCATGTGTGCCTGAAGTTTTTATTTTGTTCCCTTCTAGTATGGTCTGTGAAGGAGCTCTGGTGGTATAGTGGTTAAGGCTTTTGTGTCCAAGATTACTGAGATGTAGAGAACCAGCTGAAAAGATAAAGCTTCAGGACAGTGGAAAGTGTGAGTGAGCCCCAAGGGAAATAGTCAGCCTAAAGTGATCTGGTCCCTGTTCCTTCTGTGGGACAATTTATGCCTGCCACAAAACCAGAGGAACCAGTTGGATGGGATTTATGTCAGAGATTATATTTCAGCTCCAAATTGATTGTCAGTTAATGTTGTAGCAGTTAATTTAAAAATGTATTTAGAAAGTCAGCTGAGAGCAAGAGCATGAAAATTTCCACTGGTCTGGGCTGAATTGGTTTTTCCTAAGGTCCTGGGGAAAAACTCTGGAGTTCTGGATGTCACACCATGGCTCCCTCAGTCATTCTGCCTGCGTCTGCTTTCATGAGTGGAGTTCCTCACCATTGTTCCAGGGGAGACAGGAGTAGAAGGGGGATGGGCTTGCTGGGACTAGAGAGGCTGGTTTCTTTGCTTGACACAGAGATGTGGACGTCTTGGAGGAGAATCTGTTTTTTTTTTTTTTTTT